AAACAGCAAAACCCACAGCAACTCTTTCACATTCCTTTCATAAAACTGCACATATTTGCATCTGGTAAGTAATTCATGCATAATTACAATGACACAGCAAACAAAAGTCTCAGTTTCAGTTAATATGGGATTATCAAGGAGACATCAATCCTTCATTCTTCTTCAAACTGCCAAAAACTAAAGGAAGGTTCACCAGGTAACACTAGTTGTGTGTGTGTGTGTGTGTGTGTGTGTGTGTAGGAATGTTAGCTGATGTTCTGTCACTTTGAGCGAAGGCACCGGTAATGGGTACATGACTGCAGTAGAATAGACGGAAGGTCAGGATGATGTCATTAAAAGTAGAGATGAGGTGTACTGTGTCAGCTGGCAGACTGCCTCAAAACAGAAGTAACACACACACACACACACTCAGCTAACATCCAGCCTCAGGCTTCAGTTTCAGATAGCCAGTAAATTAGCAGCAACTCGATCCTGCCTCTCAGAACAACGTCAAGCAGCTGCATTGTTTTTCGAGAGTGTGTGAAAAAGATCTCAAATCAATTCAATGACTTGAGGTGATTGACGATGGGATTTGGAGTTACTGAAGGATTTCATCAAATTCATTAAATGAGTGAATTCATGTGCTCATCTTGAAGCATGCATGAGATGGTCAAGCCAGTTTGCCACTTTTTCTGACAGTGTTGAATGACAGCACCTCTATTATCAAGTAACAAATCAAGGGACAAAGCTATGATGATTAAACAGTATCTGTAATAGCGAGCATGAAGATGGTTGACCTGAGCATGTGGAGCAGTGTCAGTAAGCACGGTCATTAAAAATTAATGCGCACAGTGTCATGAATTGAAAGCTATTCACAAGCGTGTGCGAGTCAAGTTGAATCTTGGGACTTGGGATGGGAATAAGCCGTATTCCCTTGTCTCCCATGTTTATGATTGGTCATTCTCAGTCAATCACTATCCTTATGGAAACAACTCAGGTAAATTAACTCATCACTCAATCGCAAAATTAGGTTATGATTATTGCATTCTTATACAAAGGTAAATAATCTAACCTTGAACCATTAAAGAAAATCCATTAATGGATGGAGTGAAGTTTATGGTGGATGGTGGTATTATGTTCAGTGGCTGAAATATGCCACCACTTAAAATGAATCTGGCCTGGAAACAATCAAAAAACATTTGAATCCTATTAGAAAATAAGGATTAATAGGATCTCTGTGGAGAATTGCCTTTCCCTGTCAACAGTGTATGAGAAGTTATGTACAGAGGGCATTTACATTCAGAGGGAAACTGAACAAATATATAGGCATATAAATTAAAGTGATGGCCTTACTTGTTCATGTTAGCTAGCTAACAAAACATAAGGTATAACTGTATTCTACATACATTAGCTACACACCTATTTAAGCTGTAGTTGTTGCTAAGATGAAACTGAAGTTTATTGTGATCTCCTTCCACAATTAAAGGGGATTTTACATTGAATCTGATCAAGGGCTGTGCTTCCAGAAATGAGGGGACTGGTTGAGGTGACCAATCATTAAATTCAGCTCGAGGAGTATAGCTCCTGCAAGCAAAATGAAAGCAAAGCTATTATTATTATTATTATAATTATTATTATTATTATTACTATTATTATTACTAAATATTACTTAATATTACTAAATATTATTATATGATGCTATAATCCTAGTGGTTTCTGAAAGACACATAACATTAGCATTAACATTAGCATTCCTCCACTACAACTCTAACATTATACTTATCAACTACAGTGGCACTGTTGATCTTATGTTCCCTACTACAAACTCGTGCATTTTATTTTGATTTTTCGCTTGCAGAATTTTGCATTGTTTTCACCCATTTTTGCCTACAGCACTTCATATCTGGCATGTAATAGCTGTTACTAAATGTAATAATGGATGGACTTGTAGAGCAGCACAGGTGGCTGTTGGCCTGTTTACCATCCTGCCTGCTGTTCAGCTGCTTTTATGATCCATATTTCATGAGAGATGAAGATTAAGTGGAGGGCAGATCTGTGCCATTCCAAAGCAGCTGCATGCTTAGCCTGGCAGCTTTTCAGCCAGATGTTTGCTGTGGATTGACTATTTCAATGTCATTTTAAAATCCATTTGTGAAATGAAATAGTGACTTATATAAATACCTGAAGTCTTCATGAAATGTGTAAGCGAAGTGCATCTCAAGCTGAAGGACAGGAGCCAGCGGACGTTTCTTAATAATCAATATTTATTAAGGTAATATCACCTGGTTAATGTCCTGGAACTTCAGAAACATTTTTATTGCACAGTTAATGAAAGACGTCGACACGAAGTATCCTGCTTCTCAATTATTCTTTATACTAAACCAGAATTTTTCCAACTTCTTCATTTATAACTGTAGTATTCTGCACCTACAGGGTTTTGGAAAAATTATACCTGTAAAATTTTCTATAATCAAGGCTATTATAGTGTATTAATGTATTCAAGACTTTATAACTTGTAGGATTTCCTGCTTGTTTAATATTAATAATGTTTTATTGTCATAATTGTATAGTCAGTGACAGTCATGACAATATTAATTTGAACTTTATGGATAGCTTATCCATTTTAAAAGCATAGTTATGAGTACCTGAGGAGTTGATTCAACTGAGATCCGAGATTAGCAGTGCTGTGTGCTATATCTACGTCAGCTTAGCTGATCAGAGGAAAGTCTGTCTTTTGTTAATTGCAAGGAAAGCCTGCACTTGTAAACTGCAAACCTCATACAAATATTATGCATATTAGCATAATGCTTGGGACACGTGAAGAAAATGATTTCACTAGTATCATCAGTTGTGACAATTGCTTAATCAACTCACTATACATTATTTTTCCAATATTATAGCCAGCAGAAGTGGCAGGAAGGAGACTGGCCTAAAGTAACAGAGTCCAGTTTGCTTTTATTTATATAAATGCCATGTTAATAATGATTGACTGAACACATTCTGATGAGCAATGAGGTTAAGGCTTCATCTCATTATTTAGTAACTACAGTAAAAAATAAACAGATAAGGCGTGTGATTATGAGGGTGAGAAATGTCTGTACCTGTCGACGGATCCAGGGAGTTTAAGGGTCACAAGTTTAAGGTAAAGGCACTGCTTAGTCATGACTTCAAGATGAACTGCAGCAAAATCAGACATAATACTCAGCCTGACTTTTAACTTTTTGGATGAAAGTGCTTTGATCAGACAGACCAGAGTGAAATTGATACTTTTGGTTTATTGGCTATTTGGCTTAATTTAGTTTCGTTTTAATACTGAACATAATTAATCCAATTTAAAAAAAAATCATTTGCTGGACCCCTCAGCAAGTGATTTGTGGGACAGAGCGGGACTTAAATCATACTAAAACTCAGAAATACTCACAAAACATTTTGCAAAGCATAACATTTTCAAAAAACTCAAAAATGTTTTGCAAAGCGTACATGGACATTATAGGTATGAACATAATTATATAAATAACTAGCTTAACATCAGTAACTGAATCCAGCTTTTCTTTTTTCAAGAAAATACTGAAATGTTTGCAGCACCACAGCTCTGTCCTTAGTTTGCGCCTTGTGTGTCAGTTTAGCAGCACATCCACAACCCATAAATATGCAGCATGTCTGGTTCACTTCCTCCAGTTGGGGATGAATCAGGGTTTAATCACGCTCTCACTGTGATCGAGTTGCAGTAATGTTTGCATAGAAGTGGACCAAATTTACCTCATGATTAAAACAAAGAAAGCTACAGGAAAAAAACACAGAAAACATAGAAAACTATGAAAATCAAACAATCAATAATTAAATGAATGAATCGTTCAAATGAATAAAATACAATCTTCGAAACCATGTCCATACGTGCAAGGAGTTATGTGTTAAGCATATAAATCAGCTGCCTTTGTAGTTTTTTACTACCCCAATGGAAACAAGAGTGGAAACAAAATTTTTAAATCTGCAGTTTTCTCCGCTTTCTTATTTATAGTCTACTGTTAAACCTCCCACCACTATATGACCTCTAAAACTATACATTTACGAGGCCTGATTTTCAGTGATCTCTCACTAGTGTCAGGTAGATGAGCATGTTTGTGTCTGATAGACCAGCACAAAGGTGTGTTTTGACAGTGTGGGAATGAGCAAGCCCTGCTCCCTGACTGAGCTAATGTCATGGTCCTCAAGGCCAACCTCTGACTTCTCTGTCAGATACTCCAGTAATGGGGCATTACTAACATTACTTTAGTTTCACGACAAAAATGATCAAGTCAGAAAAAAAGATACACTCTACGGGCAAAAGTTTGTAGACACCTGACCATCATACCCATACGGTATGTGGGTCTTCCACAAAACTGCTGCCACAAAGTTGGAAGCACACAATTATACAGAACGTCTTTTTATGCTGTAGCTTTACAACTTCCCTTCACTGGAAATAAGGGGCCCAAACCTGTTCCAGCATGACAATGGGTGTGACTGATCAGGTGTCCACAAACTTTTGGCCATATTGTATTACCACTTAAGATCATGTTTCCGTTACATCTTTTCATGAAATTCATTGGAATTGCTCTTTAACAGTTTTAACCAGTTGCATTCATTTTCAAAAGATTAAACATTCATTTGTCGTTGGCTTTTTTTTTATGGTGTGCAGTACAATAATACAAGAGACAGCCAAAGGGATAGAAGCAGAGGGGAAAAAAATTATTCTGACTACCAGGGAGCCACTCTTGGACCCTTCATCAAGACTCTTAGTCCTCAACCTGCTAAAAAAAAAAACCAGTTTAGTCTGGCCAACCATGCTGGCAATCCATGGGTCGAGCTGGTCAAACTGGTAGACCCTCTTTGTCAGCCGGTAAGTGTTGGTAGAAAGGAAACAGTTTCTTTATAACTGCTACTATGGCTATGTTTTTGTGAAAATAACACAATAGTAAGGCAATTAGAAAATCTCAAACATTTATTGATCAATTTAGTAAAATAATAAGATAAGGCAGCTGGGTCCCCAGAGGACTAGTGGTTAGACCACGGCGCTCTCACCGCCACGGCCCGGGGTTCGATTCCTGGTCAGGGAACCAACCCCAGCCACTGGGCTTGCATACGACAGTGCCCTCCCTGTGCCAGTCCCAAACCCGGATAAAAATTGGGGAGGGTTGTGTCAGGAAGGGCATCCGGTGTAAAACCTGTGCCAAATCAAACACGCGGACCAACGATCCGGTGTGGCGACTCCTAACGCAAGCAGCCGAAAAAAGAACAACAACAATAAGATAAGGAAGCTGGAAAATAACTTATCAGTAGATTAAGATGGTCCAGAAGCTTGAGCCTGTGTTTTTGCAGAGGGGTAGCTGGTCAGACTACATACTTGGACCATACAGTGGAACGTGTAAGTTGCTTTGCATAAAGGTGTGATAAGAAATGTGATGGAGAGAGCTGCTGAAACTCGTACCTTTAAAGAGAAATGCAGTGGTGTCATTGTGGAAACCCTGCACTGGGGAAACTCCTGTGAGAGATTCTCCTACATTCAGCTCCTTCAGGATGTCCACCCGCAGAGCAGGATCCAGCTCCACAGCACACACTGAAGCAAACAAACACACGAGGAACACCACATCAGACCAAATGAAACACTAGCTAAATGCATAACGCTGATGCCAAAATGCAACACAGGCAGTCAGGCTGCAGTACGCGCTCGCGCTCGCGCCTGTCAATGAAGTAGGCTGCATTCTTACCAGAACCTGGAACCTGAACATTCACTCTGTCATTATATAACAGGTGACCAGAAGCGCTGTTTCATTCACTCACCTGATAGCACACACACTGCAAAGGAGAACTGCAGTAAAGCCATGGTGGATGAAAGTGATTTAAAAAAAAAAAAAACTGGGGAAAAACGACTAGTCCATTTGCTGGTGCGCGAGCGATGAGGCGCGCCTTCACTGAGCACTCCGGAACACAAGCACGCGCGCGGTCATCCCAACAGTGCAGAAACTTAGTGCAGGAGAACACAAAACAAAGGGTATGATTCCACAAGAGACTGCACGTGAGGTCCAGTGTCAAAGCAACAGGGCGCAAATGTCTGGCTCTCACACGGGGATGATGAGCAGGAGAGCGGCAGGTGCATAGACACTCCTTTCCGGCCCGGGAGTGAAGGGAGTCAGTACGCTGCGCGAGCTCAGTGCAACACACACTGACACACACACACAGACACATTCATTCCTGCCCTCTCCCGGTAGACTGCGGTACATAACGAGAAAAGACTGAGTGCGGGATATACTGTGCATTTACACCAATTTTCCACTGGTCAATCAGCCAAGACTTGTTTGGTGTCCAGTTTTGTTTGTTTGTTTGTTTGTTTGTTTGCTTTAGTGGTTCACAGAGGTAAATATGGCTAAAGCAATCTGCCTCATACCCAGGATACACAGCAACCCTGACCAGGTAAAGCAGTGAAAAGGAATGAATGAATGAATGAATGAATGCATACTCTCACTGGTCACTTTAATAGAAACATGTCTACACCTCCTCATTCATGTATTTATCCGGTCAGGCATTCATGCAGCAGCAGTGCAATGCTTAAATAAAATCATACACATACAGGTTCACATGAAACAGAATGGGATCTCAGTGACTCTGGAAATGCCTTATTGATAAGTATGGTCAGAGGAGAATGGCTAGACTGGTTCAATGGTTACAGGAAAACAGGAAGGCTGTGGTGTCTCATAACCACTCTGTACAACCGTGGTGAGCAGAAAAGCATCTCAGAACACACGATATGCCAAACCTTGAGGTGGAGGGCTACAACAGCAGAAGAGCACATCAGGTTCCCCTCCTGTCAACCAAGAACAGGAATCCAAGTCTACAGTGGGAAGAGGTTCATCCAACCTGGACAGTTGAAGATTGAAAATAAAAAACCAGGCCACATTTTTCCAATCTCCATTTGTTATAAGTACAAGTTATAGAAATGCAGATATTGTATACTGTATAATGTTTTTGTTTATTTTTTATAGACAGTTATATGCTCAAACAGAAACAGAGGGAAATCTACTGTATTTGGGATTATTTAACAGTCACTAGATTGGATTACGTAAAAAGGATTGGATATCATGTTACTCATAACTGCTTTAAAATGAGCAAGGAATATATGCAGTTCAGATCATAGCAGTCTGGACATCTGATTTGCACATATGGAAGGGTCAGATGACAAGGCTGAGTTTTGAAAACGCTAATGCAGTCAGGTATTGCAAAAATAATCTTTGTTTACTGCCACATTCCTTTATAAACCTGGATTATTAACCTGGATAACTCTTCACGTCCCTAGAATAAAAAAACTAATATAACTATAGTATAAGACTCAAGCACATTTATCATGAAAATGCAGTTTAATTCTAGAAGAAAAAAAAAAACAAAGAAAATATGTGATACTTGCCTGTGGATTTCCCATAGATATGCCATAGACAATATCATTTTCCATGCGATCCCTGTTGAGTGAAAGGATGCTCTGACCAATAAACAGTACACTGCTAACAAATGACAATAAAATAGTACTTAGAATCAAAAATAAATATCTTCGAAGGAGCACTTTTTTCCCACACAGTAAATGAGAAGCATGTAGACCATCTTTGGAGCATTATGATCTTTCTAGCTGTATATATAAAATTTCTGAATTATGCATTTATGCACTTATGCACTGAATGTCCTAGCTTTGATGGTTGTGACCTTGCATCAATCTTTTATACCTTTAATGTGTAGCGTAAGTCATTAGTGAAATAAGAAATTCATGTATTCCACATGAACAACTGGATAGATGCAGCTCCAACACACTTTGAAGAGCATTTGATATGTTGCTCAACTGTTGGCTTCAAGCGCCATCGGAGGGTATTAAGCACACATCTGTTACCTGCTGATGATTTCGCAGAGGAAAAACACAAGGCTCATTGGCATTCCGCAACACACACACACACACACACACACACAAAGAGAGAGAGACAGAGAGAGAGGAATGATAGATGATGCTGACAGAGCCATTGCCCCATTTATTGACCTCTCTAACACTTTAATTATTATATCCACCCCAGTCTTGACCTGCACGGAAATCAGAGGAATGAAACAAAAACAAATCACTAGTGATAATGTAGAGAACACAGCTGTGTGATAGACCTATACGAAACTCAAAGTCATGAGAGATCATAATGTATAATAAATAGGTATGTTTAATATAAATATGGCACACAGCAGTTACGGTATTAATTCAAAGATTCAAAGATTCAAAGCGTTTATTGTCATGTGCACAGTGAGGAAACCAAGTTTCCCTGAACAATGAAATTCTTCCTTTGCTGTCCACATTGAATGCCAAGATAACAGAACTATATAGAAATAAAAAATAAAAACATTAATGACATCTTATTTAGTTTTTCTATTATTATTGCTTCATTTTTAGTGACCAAAACTCATTTCAATGCTGTGCAAAAGAGGAAGGTGAGGAAAGAGGCAGTGCTTAACCCAATCAATCCGGATCAAAATGTTTGACAGAGGTATCTAACAGCGTTAGGAACGCAGATGGGATATTGTATTTTCTTTAAACAAACTTGGTTAGTTTTTAATATATTTAGTTATAGCAAACCAATCATTTCTTTATAACAGTATATTGCACATTTGAATAAATATCATTATTATTGAATCTTGCCCATTGGAATAATGCATATGTTACAGATGCAATAAACCCTGGATCTGCATGAGTATGCTGATAGATAGCAGATTGGCAATTACCAAACAAATAAATGAGCTGATGTGTACCATCTGGTATGCAAGTCAGGAGAAATACTCTAATACACCTTTTAATACACAAATACACTATGTACACATACTACAAATATGCTTCTTTTTTTATTATTTAAAGCGCATGTTAATCTTTTCAGTCATGTTTTTTTTTTTTATTTCTTTTTAAATTTATTATAACCTTTTATTGTTGTACTAACTTATAAAATAATAAAATAGATTGATGATGGCAAAGATATTGGTGGTGATGTGTATGTGCACCTTCTGCAAAGTCTATAAAGGCACTTCTTTCCCACAAGGGACAAGCAAGTATTACATTTCACACATCAAGTCCCTGGGATACCAGCATCAAAAATGCAATTACACTATATCAGCAGAGATCATTATATATTAAAGCACTGTGGGGACAGAAATGGTATCTAATACTTCAAATCAAACTGTACTGGCAGAGAGAGGGAGAGGGAGAGAGAGATAAGTGAATCATTGATCTCTAATCACTGGAGTCATCGGCATGCACCCTCCAGCACCTGCTATTATAGCTCAAGGCATCACAGACAGATGGCAGCATTAAATGCAATACACATGGGGACCCGTGTCCTCTATCCTCACTCAGATTCTTCATAATGGAACACAGGAGACCAAGAGTTAGACAGAGGATGGCTCTATGAGGTCTGTGATGGATAGTTATATCTACAGCATGAGCTCAGATTACTGTGATTTTACCATCAAAATTTACAAGATTCATTGAAGCACTTATATCATCGGTGCACAGACACACACACACACACTCAAATGTGTTACATTATGCCCTGATCTGAGAGTAGAAATATAAATAGAGTGTGAATTCTCCCAAAATGTACACATAGCACTTTTAGCCATAGTGTTAGGCATTTAGAGCAGCAGAAGGCAGCCTGTGATATAATTATAGATGTTTCTTTGTGATCTTTGTGATGGCATCTCCACTTCACCACCTGCTGGAAAAGATCACATGTTTACTTATTTAACAAGCACCCCGCTTACATGTTAAACATTAAACATTACCAACCAAACTATATTTCTTATCAGTTACAGTACTTACACAGACATACTGCTGTAATAGAGGATCAAAGGTCAGGCAATCACAAATTAGTGTGCTACCATTAGGGAAAAAAAAGAAGTATACACTGCAATGATCTATGTACAATAATTTCTTGCCTTCACTGCTATGCAAATTCAAGGTATTCTGGGTAATAATTTAATTATTACGTACACTCACCAGACACTTCATTAGGAAGACTTGTGCACCTGCTCATGTAATTATGCCAATCGT